ACACACACACACACACACACACACACACACACACACACACACACACACACACACACACACACACACACACACACACACACACACACACAGCAGCATGCGGTCTGCTAATCTTTTGGTTGTGCCTTTATCTCTGCAGGGCCCTGTGTATGGCTGCATCAGATAAGAGGGCTGCTGTTGTTTCTCGTGGGTGTGATTGTTGGTGGAATTTTATGGGGTAATGGGTTCACAGGGGAATAGGCGGGAGGGAGGGACGGGGGTCTCCAGACAGCAGCTCATACACAGGGCGGGAGGGTTGAAAAGTTAAAGCTGTGCCCCTTAAGACCGAACTCCACAATCCTCCAGTGTTCAGGCAGCTCACAGTTTGCATGGCTACCCTCGTTAGGCCATTGCCTAACCAAAACTTTATCCATAACCAATTCATGACTAACCTTAACCACCACTTATCTTATACAGGATTTCAGAAATGCCATTTTGCCTCATTCTTACCAGATCCCCATAAGGTCCACTGGTCCTGATAAGATGAGTGCTTATATAAAGGTAAGAAAAACAAGCACACACAGTATTTGACCATCAACAGTTTTTATTAACTTGTGTCGTGACGTCCACAGACAGTCCAGATACTGGAGAGAGCGCGGACGCTTCACAAGCAACCGTTCATCGTATACATTCATTTCACCGGGGACAGAATTCAACTGATTCACCTTCATTCAGTGAAATACAGACGACGACCCAACATGAGTCATTTCTCTGAAGGAGCTCTGAGGGGAAATATCTGTCCCACTGCTGTGAGCTTTAAAAGCACTTTAACAACACTAACGATCAGACTCCACCTGTTTCAAAGGATGAAGAACAGTGGTGTCCATGTTTTTTTGAACACTAGTTCGTAACAGAGGCCTTGATAGTCCACACCGAGGAGTTAAAGGAATAGTTTGACATTTTTGAAAAAAAATGTTGCGAGCATGATGTTGAAATATTACAAACATTATATAAAGATGGACGACATGACATTGAATTAAGTGAAGCCAAAACATCTATAGCCCCTGGTGGCTGGCTCCAGTATAGCTCATAAACCCAGCCTCCTCCCTGTTAGTGGATGGGACATGGACCAAACTAAAAAGTCAAAGTGCACATTAAATATAATTTTCTATAAATGTTTTTAGGTAGTTTTTAAACACACTGATGTTTGTTTAAGTTTTGATGTTTCTGGTAAGTTTAGTTTTATTTATTTATTTGATGCTCCATACTTTAGCTTCACTTTAGCTTCAGTGGGATGAGATGGAGACACGTCGTGCATCTTTACTAACAATCATTTCCTTGCGAGAAAGCGAGTGAGCAGCATTTATAAAAATGTCAAACCGTTCCTGTGAATGTTCCTTTTATCAAATGATGAATTGCAAGCAGCAGAATTAAAACAGCAAAGTGCTCAGTCATGATAACACAATTCATAGAGATAACACTGAACACTGAGGAGATAAAACTTCACATGAAGGAGTCTGGATCATCAAAATGTCTTTTTCTTTTGCCTCATTTTGCTAAAAATGATGAAATCGTTCATTTTTCTTTTCTTCTGCGTTCGATCGCTCCAGTGCATCTGCTCACACGTAGTGAATCCCATCTTATCAACACAAAAGAACAATGCGTCTTAGCTGAGGAGGTGGAGAGGAGAGGGGGCACTGGGAAAGTTCGGGGGTGTGAGGCCAAACTGATCTTTAAGAGGAGCCATTGTGGAAAAAGAAAGAGAAGCCAGAAGGGAAAGTATAGTTCCTCTCGACTCCGGAGAGGAGGATGTCCGTCGAAGTTTGTCTGCTGCTCCAGAATCACACATCCAGTTAAATCTTGGTTGTTTAGTTTCTATTAAAATGTTTTAACAAAGTAACTGTCACTGCCCACATGCTTTACATTGGTTGTGGTTGTTAAGGAATAAATCCACTAGAGGGCAGAGTTGAGAACATTGCGACTGCGGAGATGATTAAGCAAAAGCAGCAGTTTGTCCATTCGCACGATGGAAGTAGCATCATAACCCCAGATGCCTGTTGTCTCTCCTCAAAAAGTTCCACCATTGTTGAAATCTCTCCATCTCCAGTTTCCTCCATATCCGTTAGCTTTCGGATGACGAGCACAAATCCGGGTGAAGTGAACCCAGAGTGTATCGGACACCGAGCGCTGATAGCATCAGCTTCGAGCTAAATGCACAGCTGAGCCAAGTTCAGCTGAAGGCGACAAACGAGAGCTGAGACCGAGAAGACGAGAAGAACTGAAGCTGAACGTGGAGATTAGAGCGAAAGATGAGGTGACAGGTTGTAGCTCGACATCTGGAGCTGAGATGTGCATCGTTCAGAGGAGAAACACTTAGGAAACACCGGGTCGCTATTCACAGGGTCGAAGTCACGGGGTCAAAGTAATTCAGCACTCAGGCTGCCGTGGGACATGAGATTCTTCAGGATTCAGAGGAGCAGAGGGACTTCTCTTCTCTTTATCTTTTTTTTGTTCCCAGACTCATACCCCCCCGCCCCCGCGTCAGTTCATCTCTCCATCTCTGGACGGCGGCTGTGGGAGTCGCCAGGGGCCGGGGCACCAAGTAGTGTCTGGGTACAACAGACAATGGACAGACCTGAACCTGAGAGAGAGAGAGGGAAATGAGGGTCACAATGCCTGGAAGCCGCATACTGGGGATTTCAAAATAAAACGAGGGAGTACAATTAGACGCGTGCATGCGGTCACACGTGCACACTCACACACACATGCACACAATGAACAAAGCCAGGAAGCATGTGATGGTAGTAAAAACATACACAATCAGACGTGCTTACATAAAGGAGAAGTGTCGTACACGCTTTAAATCTAAAGCTTTTCCTGAAACACATTTACTGAGCAGCCGAACAACTGTAAACATTAAAAAATACAATTAACTCTTTATGTTATTGATTTTATTGTTTTTTTTTTTAAACAATCGACCATCAGGTCTAAAGCTCATTTCATTATCCTCAACCCACCTTCCACCCTCAGGGGAAGCTGCCATCAGCTAAATGATCACAATTCAATGCACAATGACACAATCACTGACCAGACAGCCGAGAACGAAAGAAAGAAGGGAAGAGAAGGGGGACAAATAAAAAAAGTCCCCTTAATGTCAGGAAGGCCTCGGATAAGATCGGTTTGTGTTTTATCCTCTGTATTGTTTGGTTTTTCCTGTAATGTCAGTGGGAACATGTTTTTTCTCGGTGATGTTTCATGGTCGTTCAACTGTTCACAGAGAAGTCAACCTTTTGTGTTTGACTCAGCGTCACAGACGGACTCTTTTCAAGAGAACCAAGGCCTCTGGGTCTGCGTTCATCAACACGAAACAATGGCAGAGCTACAAAATTACATAACTGGAGGTTGAATAAAAACACAATATGGTCTCTAATGTTAATCATCAGTAAATCTGAATCTAAAACCAAGTAACTTTAAAGTGGTCCTCAAAAAATTTGAAGTACAAGAACACACACACAGACAGAAACAGACAGACACACACACAGACACACACAGACACACACAGACAGACAGACAGACACAGACACACACAGACAGACAGACAGACACACTTTACCTTGTAGGGTCTTCACTAACTGAAAAAGGTCCTTTCACATTCACAGTGTTTCTGTTGTTTTCCACTGTGCCGTAGCTGAGAGTCACCTGATGAGAGAACAACATGAATGCAACATGGCTCAAATGGTTTTTAACATCTGTAGAGGCAGAGATTATAAATGTGGGGATGTTATGTCTGTGTCTGTGTGTGTGTGTGTGTGTGTGTGTGTGTGTGTGTGTGTACCTGGTTGTGTATGTCTGACACCAGTCCCAGGTTCTCCAGGTGGGAGTGGAACAAAGCCGAGCGGATGAGGCTCACGCCGAGCAGCGCTTCCACGATGTAACCAACAGTGCAGTCGTCAGGGAGGCGAATGTGCTCGGCGGTCGACATGAAAGTGCCCTCACTACAAATACATTACAATAATAATAATGATAAGCTTTATTTAGAGCACTTTAGTTAATTTGAAGTAAACCCAAGCTATTAGATTTTAAAATCAACACAAAAACAAGAGACAATGCAGCGAGGCCTGAGTCGGTTTTATTGGCCCACGTTTTCTCGACCCAGTAATAATCATGGCACCAGCATCAACCAGCAGAGAGCAAGCAGGAGTTTGATTGTCGCTGATTTTGAAAAACAAAGTAATTACCTTGCCCAGGGTTTCATCTTGAGAGCGAGGGCCCGACTCAGACAGAACCCTGCTCCTCCTGTGGCGAACCAGAAACGCACCGTCTTCTGCAAACACACACACACACACACATCATCATCATCATCATCATGAATTATGGTGCATCTCTGTCTCAGCCTTGGCACCGCTGCTCTCAGAGCACGCTGATGTTTCTTTAACCACGACTTAGGTTTTCTAGACACGTAGCTTATTCCCATTATGCAAAAAGAGCCGAGGCTGTGAATGTGATCTCTGCTCTCTCTGTACAGCATGAAGCAGCCCGGGTGGTTAGAGGGAGAATCACGTTGACTTACCATCTCAGCCGTGCCGAGTCTCTCCGTGGCCTCTATGGGTCGTTCGAGGCTGGGCCGGCCGATGTACACGTCCTCCGTGTGACTGAACTGTGACAAGAGTTTCAGGAGGGAGCCGACGTTCACGTAGTTATCATCGTCGACGTGACAGAACCACCTGCAACACGCAACGCTCAGAGTTAATAAAACACTCTTTGAGTAATAAAGCACGGGGGGGGGGGGGGGGAATCGCGTCTTACTTCTTTCCAGAGTTAATAAAAGCGTCGTACTCCAGAGCCATTTTACAGGAGAGAGCCTGACGACTGTGGGCCGCTGAGCAGTTGGTGTTGATCAGGTGAGATCCTGAGGATCAACAACAAGAGAACAACCCGTCATGACACAGTGATCGTGAGAATTACACGAGAGAAGAAGAGACAGACTTTAGAGGAAATGGTTTGTTCTAATTTGAACTAAACAGAAAAGGCAGCTCAGGTCATTGGTTACGTATTGAAGTATTTATTCTTGAACTAATTACAGGAACATTATAATGGTAGTAGATGAAAATGTTTCACGTCAAACTTGTACTAACTACTAATATTAGCACATCTAATTTAGTTTCTCATGCCCGATTATAATACTGTTGTGTACAATGTGTCTGATAGTGAGAAGAATACTTCATTGAAAGTGAAGCTTTTCTATGAGTAAGACGAGGAAAGGCCCCGTTGATTAAATCTACGTGACTTCCTGCATTTCATGGAAAAATAATATTGCTCAGTCAGCGTTCTGGTTCCTGCTTTCCTGCCTCTCACACTGCAGATAACACTGCTGCTGCTACTCAGCAAAACTGCTGTGTGTGTGTGTGTGTGTGTGTGTGTGTGTGTGTGCACTGACCCATTCTCTTCCTCAGCCCCTCGTCCTCTCCGTCAGTGAACACGTACGTCTGTGGAAAAACAACACAAGCAGAGTTCATGTTATTCTGGGCACGTTTCACGAAGCAGCAGAGAAACACAAACACCATCACACAGACGCTCCTGCTGCTCCACCATCATTGTTCATGGGTGACTGTTTATGATCTCAGGTGAGACTCCACCCGTTTCCTCGCTGACCCACCACACGGCAGCGGAGGGCCGTGCTGACTTTGGGTGAAGGCCAGGATAAAGGAATCACTCTGTGTGTCTGCAGCAGAGCAGCCGGTCACAGTCCTGTGGCTGCGTGTGCACAGTATTAATGTGATGAGTGACGAGGTCGAGGGCCACTGCGCACTCAGGAAGCCATGTAGACCCCGTAACTTTCCACAGGAAGTCCACCAACACACACAGGGTGCACACGGCCTGCAGAGCTCAGCAGATTAACTGGTTGGCTGAAAACAAAATCAGCATCATATGAGCATTTTGTAGACGAAGGTGTTTCCAAATATGAAAACTTCTATTTTACGTAAAAATGTTTTCTTAATTCAACTTCTATATATTTGGTTGTATTTGTGTTTTTTACTAGAAGTTGTTTATTAAAAGGTTTATGGTTAAACTGTAGAAATATCGAGCCTCAATAAGCAGCTGTTTGCAGATGTTCACAGGCACAGCTGTGCTTTGATCTAAACATTGACGACAACATGCTGATGTGTAGCATAAAAGAATCTCGATTTTAAACTCAAGCTACAGATGGAAATGTTGTGTCAATGCAAATATATCATTTAGTCATAAATCCGTTACTGGACTCATTAAAATCTGAGTTCTTCCTGACTGGGCACATGAATGTTTGTAATAGATTTCATAGTTACAGCTGCAGTATTTCTGCCACTATATAAGTGTTGTTATATAAGTGTTGTTAAAACTACAACTGGATGTGTCCTTTTCGAAGTGGCTTGTGTTGCTGCAGTCAGGTCAGGCGGAGCGTCATCAGCGAAACGTCTGCTGATGTTTGTGAATTAAAGTCTTTGTAGAGTTAACGTGGCGATTTACTTTCTGTCCAGAAAAAGATTTTATAATTACTTCCAATGAGGAGGATAAGTGTCCACTGTTTGTTCTCGAAAACATCTGAATGGATTTCCAGGAAACTTGGTGGAAGGACGGGACACGGGCCAAGAAAGACCCTGTTTAAATGGGCAGATCCAGATTTTTCACGTTCTTTAACATTACAAGACAGGACATGTTTTGCGGACTGATAATCTGGTGTGGATCCAAATTAAAATGAGAATCAAGTGGATTCCAAGATGGTTTCATAAGGGGACCCCTACTATATGTACTACTGGGCCTTGGTGCAGGTTTCCACTGTCCTGAGGGCCGAATTTAACCAGCCTCAAAATAAAGAATGTTTCATTTCAAATCCAGCGTCCTGCAAAACGGACACAACAAACACTAACTCTAACTTCACTGTACGAACTGCACTGACTGAACAGACCGGTATCAGACAGATTTCAGTTGTCAACCCGCTTTTCATGCAACACAAATTCAACAATAAATCTTCAGTGCAAACACAGAGTGATCGCCATCGCTGCCTGTGGTCGAGAGAGACTGAAAACACACAGAGAGAGAGAGAGAGAGAGAGAGAGAGTCCAGCCAGCTGTGTGTTTTTGTCAGTCTTTCTTTTTTTTCCATGCTGAGCCTCTTAAGCCCCTCGAGACGCTCGGCTCCTGCGTCTGTACGAGTGTTTCACTGTGTGTCTGTGATAGTGTTGTATGCTAAGCTGGGGGGGGGGGGGGGGGAGGACAGGGAGGGAAAATGTGGTTTTTGGGGGGTGTGMGGGGGGGGGCAGGAACTGAGCTTTACAACACAGGAAATAGTGGCAACAACAACCACGACCACTGAAGCAGGAGAAAGTGGTGTGTGTGTTTGTTTGTGTGTATTAGATTTAAGTGTGTGTGTGTATTAGATGTAAGTGTGTGTAAGTGTGTGTGTGTGTGTGTGTGTTTTTACTCTTGTGATCAGACACATTTCAACTTCCCATGAGAAATCTGGTGAGTTCCCAGGGCATCAGTGTTTGTGAAGGTAACACTGTGAGAAAGTGTGTGTGTGTGTGTGTGTGTGTGTGTGTGTGTGTGTGGTCTTCCCATTACTCAGCAGTCTCACAGTATAGAGGTGTGTCTGGGAAACAGGTAGAGTTACACACACCTGACCGTGAGAGCAGATGCAGGAATGTGTCACGTAAACATACAATGACAGACACACACACACACCAGCTGATTCCCCATACACACACACATATATCTGTATTCACAGTGAGTGGATGCAGCCTGGGATGTGACTTGGACTCGTCCCTCTTGAGGGTGAGATGGGAATCAGGGCGACCGCCGTACGATCCGCGCTCACGTCTGAGTTGGATTACGAGCTTTGAAGACTCAGGGTGCAGTTCACCACAGTGCCATGTGTTTCACAGCAGCAGACTCGTCTTCGACTCGCTCTCTCCGCTGGGATTCAGACCAACAAGCCTTCACTTCATCTCGTTTCATCTCAAATATTTATCCATGACTGTACCAGCGTCTCCCTTTCAACTGCAGCAGTCGTCCGCATCACATGAGTCATGTTTTTAATCCCTGACCTGGAACATTTCTTACATGATCAGTTGTGGAAAAAGAATTCGGGATGAAAATTAATCAGAGACAGTTCTTACTAATCAGAGATAGATCATTCATATTTTGGGGTTTTGGATTGTAACCCAGATGAAAACTTAGACATCATCCTCTTTCCTGGAAGCTTGCGCTTGTGTGTCATCTGCAAAGAAACTCACATTTTTTAAATAACTCCAGTTGTGCAAAAGATGAAATGTGTCACTTTTTAACGTGGTGGTCAGAAAAATAAAGTTGCAGCAAATGGAAAGACTCAACTATACTTTCACCTCCAGAACAGATCACAAAACACTCTGAAGTTCTACTTCTTATTAGTTTAAAGATCAGACATGTCAGCTTTCAGGTTGTTCGACTGAGTCTGCACCGTGATGACGAACTACAAATAAATTGTAGTCTGATACTAATCCTGAAAGTCTTTCCTCTTCACCTCCCATGTCTTTCATTACATCGATGCATTAGGCGGCAGCAGTGTGGTCGGCCTGTCAGCCCTCAGATCTCCCTCTCATGCATTACAAAGTCCTCCACCTCTGTTTTACGACTCACTGGCTGATCAAAGAGCCAGAGGACCCAGCCACATCACAGGGGGGGGGTTACAACATTCAGAGGATACTACTTCCCCTGTATGGAGGAACCGGTGACACTGGATAACACTTTGCATGAGGCCGGATGATGAGCATCTGAGATCTGATGTGAAATGATCTCATAAAAGATGATTAGTGACACGGTTCCCTTCATGTGATGCTGAAAAATCACATCAACACAACCAGAGAACGACCTGAGAGCCTGTTGGTTCTTCTAATTGTTGCACATTATAACATGAATAAAGGCTGAAGCTTATTTACTCTCTGGTTTGGATCATTAAATGAACCATGCAGCTACAAAAATCATGTCTGAATCTTGATTTTCTATCATTTTAACTCACTTTCTTTGTTTTCCTGGTGGAAACAGATCTTATTATCTAGTTTCAGGGATCTGGACCCACCTGTTGCATGTGTGTGGAGATCCAGGTTTCCAGCAGCAGCTCCAGCCTCTGCCGGTGATACCTCCCGGTTGTCTTCACCGCTATGAAGAGGTCAGCGGGGGTCAGAGGCTCCACCGGCCCGGGGGTCACGCTCTTCCTCTGGTGCCCGCTTATTGCTCTCCTCTCCCGGGTGAGTTTACTGAAATACGCCGAGAAAGCCCTCCCGTTCTCCGCTGCAACAGCAGCTGCAGCAGCAGCCGCCGGAGGTGCCCCCGGCTCTCCGCTGCTCGCGTGTCCGACTGTGACGACGAGCATCCCGGCCGCCAGCAGACAGGTGACCGCGGCGGCAGCAGCGGCGCGGGGACCCGGAGCCCAGGGGCCGGTGAGCGAGTTGGATGAACCGGAGTGAGTCCGCATTGTGACGGCGACGAAGAGTTTAAATCTCCATGAATAAGTTTGAGAGAACCAGATCCTCACAACGTGACCCCGGTGCAGACGCAGGTCGTGGCCGCCTCTCCTCGCTCCTCCTGCGGGTCAACTCTCTCCGCTCGACCCGCTGACTTTAGTTTCTATTAACTTCACCAGGGGGCGGGGCGACCCGGCATTCAACCAATAGCCGGGTTGAGCGCGCCTGGTGGGCGGAGTTAAAGAGGAGGAATCTGCACGTGGTTGTTTAACAAACAAACTTCACACAGAAACTTCAAACTTGTTCCTTTAACTTCTGGTAACATCTCTATTGGTGTTTGGAGAAATGGTATTATATAGTAATATTCATATATTAATATAAAATAGTAATATTTGACTTGATGACTCGGATCACCGTGGACCTCCACCACAAACCTCCACATGGTTGACTTCAAATTTGAATGTTGGGGCTTCCAAAGTGTTTTGTGGACTCAAACACTTCACCCACCCTTCCATCTGCATAGTGGTGAGTGGATGATGAGTGAATTCTCATTTTCTTTTCGGTGAACGATCCAAGCGTCCCTCCTCCAGGTCTGCCGGGAATCCGTTCGGTTGTTTTTGTGTAATCCTGCTAACAAATCAGCCAACTCATACCTTGTCCTATCTCACTTTTTGCTTGAACATCACTGGCAAAACTGAAATCTTATAATCATGTGCAATGAAACAATTGTGTGCAGAGAGGTCAAAGGGCTTCTTATAGAGTGCAGTAAGTTTACATGAGTCCACACATTAATTCCCATCACTACACTCATGCAATACTCCTCAATGCAAATGCATCACTTTGATATTTGAATCTTTAAATGTATCCTGGTGTTTCCAAGTGCTGCCTTGATGCATTGTTCTCTTGAATCTCACACATGGATGACACATAAAATTACTCAGAAGTCCGTCATGTTCTGCTTGGAAATGTCTGCACATGTTGTTTTGTGTCCAGTTTTCCTGTGAATTACTTATTTATTTCCTTTAATTTCCTGATATTTTCCTATATCAGAATAATTGGTATGACTGTAGCTGTTTTGAGTTGATGAGGACGAGAGCAGTAGTTCTTCGTCCTGGAAAGCAACAGGCTGTGAGTTCCTCTGTGAGGAGGCATGGTGGGTCATTCTCCAAGTGGACAGATGTTGATTAAGACCGTGACATCGGAGTGAGTGTAGTGCTGCCAGCCACACACACACACACACACACACAAACACACACACACACACACACACACACACACAGGAGACAGTCGTGCCAAGCGGCCAGGTTGCCAGATCCACCAACCATCTCAGGAATGTCTCCTCTCTAATAATGTGCGGTTTGTCTGTGCTGCATGTCTGGGTCAATCCCTCAAGCAAAGTCAGTCTAGAATTACATTTTAGGAAATATACAAATACCTCAACAACACTATGATTCAATTCAGGAAAATGAAAGTGAACATAGAAAACCTAGAAATGTTTCCTGACCAGCTTTTTCCGAGGTTTTCAACTGTATCTCACGATCTTTATCAGCAGTTGTGGCAGCAATGCAACATATAGAATCACACAGATGCCCATCAGAAACTCCGGTTCACAGCAAATGTAATCACTGTGGTGTGAATGGTTGACGGGCTGATCTGAGTGTTTCTGAATCTGCTGATCAGCCTCTGGAGTTTTCACTCAGAATGACGAGAAAAACCTCCAGTGAGCAGCAGCTCTGGTGATGAGAGAGGTCGGGGGAGAACTCGTTGGAGTTGCCAGAAAGAAAAAACTCAGATAACAACTCTGTACAAGTCTGCAGAGCAGAAAAACAGCTCTGGATGAAAAGAACACGTGAAGGCTTTAGGTGGATTGGTTACAACAGCAGGAGAAAACTGGAAGCTTAAATATTGGAAATCAGAGAATTGTTTGATGAATCTAATTTTCTGCTCAGGCGGCAGATGTTAGGTTTAAAGAGTTTAGAACCATGAAACTGCACAGGCTGTTGGGTAGGAGTCCACCTCCTCTTTCTAACCAGCCACCAGGGGGCAATAAAGATGATTTTGGCTTCTTTGGGAGCTGTCATGTCGTCTTTATATACAATCTATGGAACCAACCTGTTTTGTGGCAACACCACCAGGCGGCTGTTGTTGGTGTGATGGTGTTGGAAATGTTTTCTTGGCACATATCAGGACCTTTATAGCAAAAAAAACCAAACACAATTTGAATACCACAGCCGTCTCTTCATGGCCACAGTTTAACATCGTGTAATGATGGTGTCTTCATACTGGTTTCATGAGGAACTTCAGAGGCTTCCCCAGGCACCAGATCTGAATCTGTCTTTGGGATGTGGTAGAGCAGCAGATTGGCCGGATGAACATGCAGCTGACGAATCTGCAGACCCTTTCTTAACCCTGGAGGGCAGATGTGCTGCGTTCTGTTCATCTGTTTCATTTTCCACCAAACTGCCACTTCTGCTGAGTCTGAGTCAGATGGGAAATAAATCTTTTGAAACCACTAACTCTGCTTTAACAGTCATGCACGAACAAAGCAAGCAAACAATGGTTGACAGCAGTAAAACAGTTTGAAGTGAATGCTAATGCCGTGACATAATGACAGTTATGCTAACACGCAGATGTTTGTAAAGTAAACTGTTTGCATGTTTACTGTCTTCGCTCGGTACGTTAGCAGAAAATAAATGAGTAGCACCAAACACAAAGGCTGATGGTTTAAAAGATGTTTGACCTGATGACAAATTACAGTCAAGGATTCACTAACGTTACAACGATTCATCCAGAGAACGTGAACGTGTCTGTACAAATATATTGCTGCTCTCCCTCTGATCGTTGTTGAGACATTTCACATAAAACCGTGATAAAGATCAGTCAGAAGTGAAGCCAAAGTGTCTCTCTGACAGCGGCATAGCTCAGAAACCATGCCTCCTCCATGTTATCGAATGGGGCGTACTTCTTATCACACTTATTTTTCTGTGAGTTTAATTCTGTGTAATGGAACCGTCATGACTGACAGCTGAGACTCATTCGGTCGCCTCTTTGTGTTTGATATGTGCATCAGAAACAAGCTTCATACTGTCCCCCCCCCCCCAGGCTTAATCTGCCTGTCTTTGATTTCAACTACAATCTCCCTCTTTCTGTTTCCCCTCTGTCCTCGGTTTCTCCTCCAGTTTAATCTTGTCAATATGTTGCAGGACTCAAAGTGCAAGGTCACAGTTTTCCATGTCTCGAGTCGGGACTTTTCCCCAGTTTCCTCTCACTCTGCAAACTCCTTGTGCACATTTGAAAGAAGACAACATTCTTGATCTTTTAAAGTCACTTGCTTTTCCACGTTAAATTGATTGAAGATCAACTCCTGCGCAAATGTGGTTATCCCATTAAAAAAAAAAACACACAGCAGGGCTATTTGATTACGAGTGGGAAGGAGAACAAACAACAAGGATGTTTTCCTCCTTCTTTTTCTTACTCGGACCACATCTGAAGGAGGAGAGGAGAGTGATTGGGTTAGAGGGAGGAGAGGGGAGAAGAGCTCTGCGGCTATCGTGGCGTCAGTCATGGTTTCAGGGGATTCTTCTTCTTCGCAATGTGATATTGATTAAAGCGCTTCTCTTCTCAGAAAAAAAAAACCCCATGAGGATCAGGAAGCAATTCATCTGTGTTTGTGTGCCTGTGTGTGGGTAAAGAAATACTTCAGTGGAAACATGTCTTTTGAGTGGATTTGAAAGGTGTCTCTGTCGCCGGTTTGCTGGAGCACAGCAGCCGTCGACAGCAGCGATCACAGATTGTGATGAAGACCCAGAGTATCATCAAGAAAAATAAAACTTGTCAAAGAGCACATTTGAACATGAAACTGCTCCGGCAGCAAAATCGAAAACTCTGGTTCGTTATGTTGCAGAAAAACTGCCCGAGGCTTCAGGCCGCTGGAGGCATCAGAGCCTGAGGAGTGTTTCACATGCCTGTCGGCCACGTTAGCGGTGAGGAACCATCGATGTCAGTCTGTCATTTCAACTCTTTGGACTTAGTTCGTGACTTAAACTAAATAAATGTAGTTAAATGTACTGATTTCTGAATTGAACGATCAACTTTAGTCCAAAAAGATATTACCCAGCGAAATACAGATTTTGAAAATGTAATATTATAATAATATGCAAATTAACAGCATGTAAATACGCGTCTAGTGTCCAAAGGCGTTTAGAATGATCACTTTTCCAAGCTGGTTCTCAACCTCAGGATTTTTGAGTATTTGATACTGACAGAAATATTTCCTTTAGGATTTGACTTCAAATACTGCACAAGCACGGAAAAAGGCAGATTGAGCCAAACAGACAGTAGACACTCATTTTTTCGATTATGGAAACACAGTCTCTCTTTTTGTGTGTGTGTGTGTCTGTGTGTGAGATTGTCTGAATTAACAGAAAACAAAGGGTTTTGGACTTAAGGACGGGCAATGAGAACCAGACAGATCTTCTGGAGGGAACAATCTAGACGGATCACACAGGGCTTCAACCGACTCGGGCTTTTGTTCTCTCTTCTATTTTTATCCAGCTCATTGTGTGTGTGTCTGTGATCCTGTGCCACGGTGCAGGTTTCTACTGCGAACCACCGAACAGACAATGTGCTGTGATTCTGTCATAGACCCCCTTTGTTGACAAAATATCAGACTAAAACTCAAGGTAATTAGGGTCTAAAGGTTGTGTCTCCAATTGGGAAGAAGCTTTGGGGGTTGGTTAAAGTTGGGATTAGTTTATGGTTAGGCTTTGGTTTGGGTGAAGGTTGGAATTAGGTTAAGTTGGGGTTGGGTTCAGGTTGGGGTTAGAAGTTGATTTTGGTGGTTCGTGTTAAGTTCAGGTTAGATGAGGAGTAGTTAGAGTTAGAGTTCAGCTGCGTCTCCAGGAAATAAATGCAAGTCTATGTAATGTCCTCAGTACTGACCCATGAAAATGTGTGAGTGTGTAAGTGTGTGTGTGTGAGTGTGTGAGTGTGAGTGTGAGTGTGTGAGTGTGAGAGTGTGAGTGTGTGGTCACGGTCTGGTTCCCAGGACGCTGCTTGTGTTTCACATCATATGCCTGTTTTCATACTATAATGCAATTACAACCACATTAACAATGACTGTTTTTAATCGGAGACCTTCTGTTTCTTCTCTCGTAAAAAATAAA